TTTTTTTTTTTTTTTTTTTTTTTTTTTTTTTTCGAGACAGGGTCATGCTATGCAGTTCAGACTGTTCTGGAACTCAATGTGTAGCCCAGGCTCGTCTTGAACTCACAGAGATCCTCCCTGCCTCAGCCTCCCAAGTGCTGGGATTACAGGTGTGCACCACCACGCCCGGCTTGTTTTCACTAATTCTTATTTAGTCAGTCCCTAATAACTAACTTGTTCCAACGAAATTGCAAGACACGCACCCCAACACACATACACATTTTTTTGCCAGGGAGAAAATACCAAACTCTTAACAGTGCTTTCTTTGGATAGCCAGGACTATGGCAGGCTTTGGTTTCTTCCTTAATACATTTTTTTTTGAGACAGGGTCTCACTATGTAGTTGAAAACGACCTGGAACTCACAATGTAGCTCAGGCTGGTTTCAACCTCACAGTGATCTTCCTGCCTCAGCCTCCCGAGTGCTGGGATTATTAGGCGTGTGGCACCACAGCCGCCCTTAATACATTTTTATGTGGCTGAAACTTTCAAAATAGAAAATATTTTTGCCAATATACATGGGGTGATGAAAATATATGGTGAATATTTAAATTTTAAAAAATTGTTACAGGGCCGGGGATTTAGCTAGTAGTTCCGCTGCCCGCTTTGCAAGCGCAAGGACCTGAGTTTTATCCCTGGTACAAAAAAAAAAAATAAAAATAAAACCCCAAAAAACCAAAACAAAAAAACTTGTCATTAGTCCCCCTCAGAACACAGTCCCTCCCTTCAAACACTTCTCCCCTCATTCTTGCCACTTTGTGAAGCAGTTCTGGAAGTCCTCTTTCCTGTCTCTACGAGGTACAACATCCAAGCCTCCATGAAGACAGGCTGGTAAAAACACGATGCTGTGTCTTCCTCTGCTTTATCCACCGTATTCGGCACGGTGTAGTTTCTGGCTCCTCTCCCAAAGTCAAAAAGAACATGAAGGGTCAATATTTTGAATGGACTCAAGACACGGAGGCAGCTACGACAGTGAAACTAAAGACATTCATGAAAGAGGACTTCCAGAACTGCTTCAGAAAGTGGCAAGGATGATGGGGTGAGCACATCTAAAGCAAGGGAAAGGATTCTTTGAGGGGTTAATGCCAATGTGTCTTCTACTTTAGCACATCTTAAGCTTTAACTCTGCACAACAAGACTGTCACCAGCATTTCTCCAGCTGCATCCTGTGCCCAGCAGTCTGGCCTGCTGGGCTCCTGCATGTGGCGGGACTGCCTGCCCTCTCCCCATGCCTGGCCCTTACCGATACTTCATGCCTGTGAGCTGGGCGGTGCAGCTGTCCAGGGAGAGGCCGTGCATGCGGAGGAAGCTCTCCATGTTCCTGGCCTGGGCAGCCGCCCGCACCTCCCGCAGCCGCTGCAGGGCCAGTGTGTCCGTCTGGCGTATGGGGTGCAGGGCCCATTCCGAGTGGCACCTGCTGCTCACACTCCGCAGGCTCTCGCTGTACGTCATGGACAACATGGTGTCGCCTGGCCTGTGAGCTGCTGCAGTCCAGACGGGAAACGCCGAGCGGCGTTGGGTTAGAGAGCGCCAGTGCCCCTCACGCCCCAGGCTGGCCTGCTGGTCCAGCGAAGCCACCTCCAAGGAGAGCTGCCAATGAGAGGTCTCGGTGTCTGGGGGCGGGGCGGCCCCTGGATGCTAATATCCCTTAAAGAGGTGCCTGCTGGGAGCCAGGTCATCCTTCACCCCCAAGATAAGCACAGGCTAAGCTGCACTGCGGGCAGGAGCACTGCGCCCTGAAAGTTCCAGTGGGAATGGAGCACAGGGACATGCAGAGCCCGAGCCCAGAACAGGTGCTGGATGCCAAAGAGCATTGCGGAGAAGTGCCGCATTTCGGTGCTCCTCTGAGCTCCTGGGGTGAAACCAGGCAAAGGGCTATGCCGGGCAAGCAGCACAAGACACATCTGCTGCAGAAGCAAGCTCTCGCATAGCCCTGCCAGGGTGGCACCTCGCCCCCACTTGCCCGGGAGCCATCCCAGCTGCCCTGTGTTTGGAGCCTCGTGGAGGGAGATGCTACTCACACAGCGCTCGCGATTGTCGGGGGGCACCCTGCACCAGCAGGCCCAGGACGTCACAGCCCACGGAGCTTTGCAGAAGAAGCACCCAGCAGGAAGTGCTTAAGGAGGTGGGGGATTCCTGGGAACAGGTGGGGGTGGGACGGGGAAACTTCAAAGTTTACAAGTTAAGCACCATTGCTACACAGCCTTCCTGAACAACGAATACACTGGCCAAAACTGGAGTCAATAACAATGTCACTCCACAGGGCGGGGCTCAAAGGGCAATCTGCCTGTGGAGTGGAAAGGTGCAAGTCCAGTACAATGGGGTGTCCCAACATGGGCTGTCATGCAGTGAGCCCCCAAAGATGGAGGGGACAGGCAGGAGGAGAGAGCTCCTGTGCAGAGAGCTGCTGCTGGTTTAATCCATGCACGTAACCGAGAATGGATCACTGAGGCATGGCAGCTGGTGGCCCCACTTGCTGCAACTGTGACCGGTGGCAAGGACCCCATGGCAGGTACAGGGCAGAGGAGGTCTGTAATCCAGGCTCCCCAGCCAAGCTGGGCAAGCCCTCTGTCTCTGTCCAGATGCTGCACTGTGGACCTGGCATGGTCACCTGAAGGTACAGACAGGAAGTTCCCATTTCAGCCGGCCCAGCTGCAGGGTGGGTCCTGGTGCAAGGCCCTGGGAGGTGGGATGGGACCAGCCAGGTCTCAGCTTCTTCTCTTCCCTGTGGAGGAGCTAGGGTGGCTGCAGAAGTTCTGCATGGCCCTTGGGGACGGGGGCTGTGTTGCCCTGGAGTCACGCTGGGCTGGCACCTTCCCGGGCTCAGCTGCATGGGGCTGGCCTGCCCAGAAGGGCCCAAGGGCAGGAGCCTGGGATGAGCTTGGGTGCTGCTTGACCTCCTCTCGAACTCTGTGCTGCCCCTTCCATGGAGGCTTCCTGCAAGTGTCCGCCTGGGAGTCTCTTAATGGCAGGGGCTGGCATGTCTGCTCTGCTCCCACGGCAAGGAGTCTACGTTTTCCTCGGGCCCCTCCTGCGGTGATACTTATCATCCGCTAATGTTGTCAGATTATTGCACTTGTTCCCTCAGGATGCTCAGTCCCAGGGCAGGGACTCTCCTTTCTGCTCCTGTGCCTCCAGCCGTGCCCATAGTGCCCACAATGGGGACTCAAAAGGCCAGCCCGGGCTGGAGTGGACATTTCCTGGCCATGCCTCGATAGCGGCCAGCTAGGGCTGGGCAGGTTCCAACTCAGGGCCAGCAGTTCTGTGTAGGCTGGAGTCTCTCCACCTAGGGCTGTGTGGCTCCCAGCCTGGGGCTGACAGTCCCTGAGGCCCACATCCTCAGTGTGGGGGACGTGCAGGGCGCCAATGCCGGCAGGGATGCCCCACCTCCCAGAGGACTCAGCTGGAGGTGGCAGAGGGGCCTGGCTCAGGGTGAGGCACATGGTAGGAACTGGAGCCAGAAGCGCACAAGCAGCAGTACCAGCTCCTCTCCCTCCCATGCACGCAGGGTGGCACCCAGCAGCGCCTTCCCTGGTGGCTGTGTGGCTGGCGGCCAGCTCTTCTTCCTTGGGGCCGGTGCGGCCCTGAGCTCTTCCCGAAAAGCAGGCCTGTCTCAGACGGGTACCCTCCCAGCCAGCCCGGCCAGGCAGAGATCGATAGCCATTAGATTTCAAGACAGCCACTCCAAGCAAGCTGGGTTTGGCTGTGTCCTCCAAACACAGCCAAGAGGAAAGACAGCTGGGGGAGGCTCTGGCTCGGGGTGGGGCAGCCCTGGCTGCTACCCACTCACTGTACCCCAGGAGGTCCCACATCTGCTCCAGGCCTGTCTCCACCAGCTATTGCAGGCTGCAGAGAGGGTCAGCTAGAGCTGGCTGTGCAGTCGGGAGCACACGGCTCAGGGGCAGTGGCTTGGCCCAGGGGTGTGGGCTACAGCAGTCACATGTAGTGAGGAGGCAACAGCCTGGTGGGAGGGGACACCAGAGAGCACTGGAGACGTCTCCCAGGATAAGAGAGACACTGACGATCGCCTCTTTCCCGGAACCTGCAGAGTGGGTGAAGTGGAACCAGGAGAGAGGGTGGAGAGAATGACCACTTCCTCAGCCAGCCACACAGCCAGGACTTAGGGGGCACCTGTCCACCTCTGTGGGGGCCGTGCTCTCCCTGCTGGTGACCTGGCTGCATTTTGTGGTCCTGGGAGTGGCTGTAGGTGGGGACATTGAGACATGGGGGACCTCAGAGCCTTCAGCTTGAGGGACCTGTGGGCAGAGAAGATGACATGTGGCCTGTGGCAGTGGGCAGAAGAGGGGAGCAGAGCCCTGTGCGCATGAGCACAGATAGGGGGAGGACTGGGAGTGGGGCTGGTGCCGACGGCACAGGGGTCCGGCAGTCACTAGAGCTGCAGGGACTATGCGGCTGTGAAGGACACAGTCACTATTCTCTGGACTCTCTGTGGACAGGAGGTGACCAGCAGAGTGGGATCCTTGGATGCCAGGCCCCAGGGCAGACATTGCCAGGAAGTGGGAGGGAAGCCTGTTGCTGGGGTTTTAACGTTGAGAGTCCCCCATCTTCTAAGTTTAAAAGAGCAGTGAGACTGAGGCAGGAGAGCAGAAAGTTCAAACCCAGCCGGGCCAACTCAGTGACCCAGCAAGACCCTGTCTCAGAATAAAACAAAAAAGACTGGGGAAGGAGCTCAGGGCAAAACTCCTGGTACCAATCCCCAGTACTGGAAAAAAATCAGATACAGGGCCCTGGGGGCTCTGATTCGAGGTATCTGGGCGCTGTCTAGGCCAGGGGTCCCAGCTCTGGCTCTACCCCTTCCTCAATGGCCGGCACTAACCACCAAGGCTTGCAGACTCCTCCCTGCCCACGAATCTATTCTTGTCAGCTGGGGGCTCCGGGGAATTCAAGCAAATTAACACCAAGACTGGGAAAGATGAGCTGCCAGCAGCCGCTGCTAACCTCATTTAGCCAGAGGCCCCGCTGCCCTTCCAGCCTCACTTTCACCCGGAATTTCTGAACCGGGTCTATTTGCCGGCAGCCACCGCAGCATAACAGGGGAGACCGCAAAGGAAGCCTGTGACACTGACAGGAGGCGACATCTGTCTAGAAACCAGACATCAGCCCGGGCTGTCCAAAGCGGAAACAGAGGGGAGCGGTTACCACTGGGGCGCACGCAAGGCCTCCCATCAGTGCAGAATTGAGAGTGGTCAGCGAGGTGAGGCGCAGACAAGCAGCCCCTGCACACCAGCCGCTGCCCATCAGACCCTGCAGACGACACCAAACTCCCTGGGCTGGGTGCGAAAATGCCCAAGCTACGCCAGTGTCCTCAGACGGGAAGGGGCGGCAGCAAGCAGGCGCAAGCGTGGGACCCCAGGGTGCCAGGAGCTGCCAGGCGCCAGCCCGCCCGCCCTCCGCCATCCAGCTCGCTCTCTGCAGTTGTCCGCTGTGAAAAACGTCTCATTTCAGATCAGCCGGAAGAGACCCAAAATCTCACCCCAGGTGTTATGTGAGTTTCAGGGACATCAGCCCCCAAGCGGCAGCTCCCCCTAAGGAGGTGGCCACCTCGTCCAGGCCTGGGGCTGAAGCGACGACTCACCTACCTCCGTGGGTGGCTGCTCGTGAGAAAGGCCACAGGCTGGTTGTCAGGGTCTAAGGCTCTGGCTGCCTCTGTCGTTAGGGAGTGTCGCTCCGCACGTCAGAGGCAATTGGTGAAGAAGCCAGTCCCATAAGGGTCGGCTGTGGAGGCAGCGAGCCCATTAGCTCTATTAGGGCGTTTTCATCTCGGCGAGAGGCTGAATTATTCACAAGCTCCACTTCCCCTAAAAGCTCAGGCAGTGAGTTCCGTGGTGCAGTCTTGCACTGCCGGCTCCTGGCAGGCCTGGTTGGGGTGCAGCTGGAGGGAGAGGGTGCTGTCTTTCTGGTGCACCCATTGCAGCCACAGGTCCAGAGGGGTCAACAGTGCTATTTGTCATCTGAGGGTAGGACAGAACTCACCGTGTTCCAATCTGTGCCTGCAGTGGGGCAGTGGGGTCCCCGAGGCATGTGACTGTCACCCCACACAAAGGGGCAGGGGTCTGGCGAGGGCTCCCCCAGCATGTGAGGATGCTGCTGTTCCTCTCGCTGGTACATCCGGTGTTGCCAGGAGGTATACATGGCTGGAAGGTTTTGGAAAGCTGCTATTTGGACATCATACTGCCACCATCTCCAGAAAGGGCCACAGCAGCCCCTCCTGTTGCACAGGTCCCGAGCTGGGGTTTGGGGGAAGCTTCAACTGCTCTGTTGAGGCTGCACTCTGAGTCCTGGTGCCAGGGTCTAAGCATGGGGCTGCTATGAGCTGTCCAGGCACCAGAGAAGTCATCAGCCAGATGCCACACCGTGACCAGTGGAGTCTGGATGGAGGCTGACCCGTCTCTGCCACCGTGGGGGTGACAGGACAGGAAACTGTGCGGCAGATAGGGAGGTGAGCAGAGCGGAAAGGGCCTGGAATCCGAGGCTCCCGGCTTGGTGGGGTGGGGGCAGGGGGGTGTTGGCAGTGTGGACTTCTAGGGGCGGCCAGGAGAAGGTCCTCAGGTCTCAGCAGCGAGTTGTAAGAATGAGCCTGCCCATGTTTCACCTGGGCTTCCCGCTTGCTTGCCACGTGCCATGAGGAGCCCCATGCACCTCTGCAGCCTGGCCTCTTGCTGTCCTCTGTCATGTCCCCGGTGGCCCAGGCTGCGTGGACACTGTCTGCTGCTCTCTCTGCATCCCTCCACGTGGTGGCTGTCACCTCTGCCTCCTTCCTGGCCTCCGAGGTCAGCTTGAAGCTCCAAGCCGTCCTCCCCACCAGGCCTCCCTGGCTCTGAGCTTCCGTGACTGTGCTCAGAGAGCTGGGGCCTCCCTGTGACTCGTTCAGCCTTCCAGACGTGAGTGGAGTTGGGTGCAACTCGGGGTGAATACATTACTGCTCCCCATCCTTCACTGCTGTGTCTGTGAGCTTTGCCAGATGACTCCAGGTCCCCACTGGTGGAGGAATTTATCTGCCAGCCTTTTGGCTTTGTGTGTGGTTACAATTCTTGCTTTGGCCGAAAGAACGTGAAGAGAGGTGACAGTTTGTTTCCATCTGTGGGCCCTAAGAGGCATGGCACATTACCTCTGCTCAAGAATAACGGGCAAACAGAGACCACCTTGGCCTCCCTCCAGTTTGGAGACAGACCTGGCCCAGCCCAGCCCAGAGGAGCTGATTCTAGCCAGTTTGACACACAAGCAAGAAACAATTCTAATTGTTACCTAGCACTAAGTTTGGGGCTGCTTGTTATGCAGCACTTTGTACAGAGCTGACTGGTACAGGGCCTTACTGCTTTCCTAGTCTGGGAGCTGCTCGAGGGCAGGACACTCACCTGGATACCTCTGCCCATTGGAGGGCCACCTCATACAACCTAAGCAGCTCTCGGATGCCATGTTTGGTGCTGTGTGATGGAGGTGCCCCACCCAGAGCAGCACCCTGTCTGTGGAACAAAGGTCTCAGCCCTGATGTGGTCTCTGTCAGAGATCCCACCCAAATGTCCACACGAGGGAATCACACCGTGGACTTGGGAGAGGATGGCCAGAGCCTACAGACACCACACCGTGGAGCTGAGAGGTCAAGGGGGAGGCCTTTGGAGTTGGCTCTCAGATGGGAAGGCTGGCTGGGGGGGGATAAGGGAGCCCCTGGGGGGAGGGCAATAGGATGAACCCTGGGGCCCTGGCTTCCTGGAGTAACGAATGGTGTGGGGACTCACTACGATGCTGTTGCACCCAATGTACTTGGGCCCTGCCAGGGCCTCTCTGAGCTGCAGGTCAGCACCTGGGCTTTTCTGCCCATCACTGAGGATGCAGTTCAGGGGCAAGTTTGGTGTTGCTGGCCACATCCTCTGGGATGAACACCACACATTCATATGACAGATGTGTAGCATTTGCAAGCCGAGCTCCAGACCTAACCATTTGGGTGAAAAATCTGGGCTTTTTTTGGTACCAGGGATCGAACTCAGGACCTTGTGCTTGCAAGGCAGGTGCGGTGCCACTGAGTTAAATCCCCAACCTTATGTGAAAATCTCATCGAACCAAAATGTCAGCAGAGAGTCACCTATCTCTCTGAAAGGAATGGGACCGCCCAGGAGGCACGACAGCAGCAGGACAGATGAGCCCACACACCCAGGCCACAGTCACACCCAGAGGCACAAGGCTGATGGGGAGGAACGGGTCACGTGGAAACTCAGCACCGGCCGGCACCCTGCCAGACTCCTGCAACAAATGCTCCCAGTGCTGCTTCTGGCAGGTGTGTACACGTCTGGGACAGGGAGACCCCGGGGCCCAGTGCTAGGATGTGGCAACCTGCACAAACACCTGCCACGAAGAGGCGCTGATGGCTTAAACAGCCCTGGGGCAGGTGGAGCTCAATGACCGGGGATTCTGTGCAGCCCTGACGCTTTACTTCCGGGACCTGGAGGCTGTCTAGGCAGGATGCATCTTCTTGGTGCCTCCCCCTGCTTCACAGGAGGATTTGAGGCCCAGAGGGAGAGATGGACGGGCCCGAGAGGACTTGCTTGGCCTGTGCCTGGGGCTCTGGGTGCCAGGTCCCACTGGGCACCATCTCTCGCCAAACGCCTATTTCTAACTTGCCACCAGGGAAGTAGGACAGGAAGATGATCTGCATCCACCCTGACCCTTATCGGGGTTGCACAGGTGCCACGAATGCCTATCATGAAGTCATTAGAACTCTGCTGGTTCCAGATTGGCCCAAATCCACAGCACAGGGAGAACAGAAAGCTTGTCACGGAGCCTTCACTGTGGAATGGGGGAAGCACAAACCTGTGCCCACAGGAGTGAGTCCCACCCACGGCCGGATGCTTGAGGTTTTATGGCCCATGTGGCTGAGAGCTAAGCAGTGATCAAAAGTCACAGGTTCTAATCTTAGACCCGGCCACACATTCCCATCAGGACTGGACACAGGCTCTGAGGGAGGCACTGAGAGAGATGGCAGAGCCTGGTGCCGTCGTGGGACACCAGCTCGCCTGACCCATGGGCACGCACCTCTCACTCACTCCCCTGCCTGTCCGCTTCTGGGGTGGAGAGAAAACGAAGGACTCATTACCTGTAAAACTGGAGCTGTCTTTTGGGACTCCCATACCGAGTACTTCGGACAGCAATGGAGGAAAGAAAAAAAAGAGAGAGGAGAGAAGAGAGACAGTCCACAATGGGCGTTAACCTCAGCCAGGGTCCAGCTCCGAAGACTTCAGCCACAACCGGCAACCCCCAACCCCCACCCTCCTCGGCCCACAGCAGGAGCTCCGCAGCAGTGCCACCCAGTGGCCACAGAAGCAGAGGCCTGGACACAGAGCCCTCCTGGCCTACTTCCCACATAAATCTCTGGTGAGGGTTGGTCTGGGGCTTGCGTGCCTGGGAATGGGCCTTACGGTGTCACATCTTATTATATGCAGAGCAACACTGAGCCTTCCAGCTGCACCCACAGGGACGGTCAGCAACTTTCGACCCCTTTTCAGGACAGCTGTTCCTTTGCCCCGGGTTTCCACAATGGCTCTGGCTCAGGGCCAACAGTGATCTGGAAAGGACAGACTGCTGGTGCACCAGAGTGGGGGTGGGGGGTCTCATCAGTGCCCTCTGCAGGCCGAGCTGGGCTTGGAGGTGGCCCCCACTGGGAGGAGGTCGGGGTACCCCATGAGTGTCCCCTGTGCTTGCCTAAAATGTTGGAAAATGTGCAGGCGCGGCTCCCCAAAGGGCTGACAGGTCGTAAGCCTTATTCAGGGCACTGGGGGGCTGGGGACCAAAAGCCACGTGAGTGGGGCATGCAAAGGGCAAGAAACAGAAGCCGGAGGGGCTTTGTGCACAGTGGCGCCCCCATGTGCCCACCAGCAAAGTGTGCTGGAAGAGTCTGGAACCAGAAAAGAGTATACGGGCTGCATTCCACCCAGAAAGTCTTGTTTTTTGCTTCCCGCCTGGGCGGGGCCCTCCTCATGGGCAGGCCTGGCCCGGGAGGGGGTCTGGTGGGTGTGTGGGGGTCACCTGTAGATCATCCCGGGGGAGCCTGTCTGCCGCAAGGAGAGCCGAGCTGGGGAGCCTGTGGTGGATTCTGGATACATGGGGTCGGCCTCACTTGTCCAGATACCCTCGCTTCTTCACAGAGCGAATCTTCTGGAAGAAAAGCAAAGGGGCAGGGGAGGTTGTGGTTAGCAAAGGCTGGCCAGGCTTGGCTAGAGGCTGCCAGCGCCCACGGGGCACCTGTGTGTCACTCAGGGGGCAGACAGACCGCTGCAGGGCCTCTGATGACAGGGTAATGACTGCGAAGGACCCCACCCCTCCACTCCACACCCTGCCAGGGATCTGGCTTTTCTGTTCAGAGCAGGTTCTGCCCTGCACATGGGCAGAAGGGTCAGTCTTCTCCACCCAGGAAGTGGCACTGCCCTCCCTGAGTCACTTTACACATTCCTTGGCCCCAGCCCCAGCCCATGGCAGCTTCCTGCGCCGCCTCAAGCTTCTGAGCCTGTCAGATGTCGCATCCCCAGAGACCCCTGCTCTGGGGACCCCCCACCCATGTGGTCCCCTCCACCGAGCGCGGCTGGTGGTTTGTGACCAGCACAACGTGGCACAGGTGATGAGGAGCTGTCACTTCTGTGCTGGGCAGCACAGGCCGCAGCGTCTGTCTTGTTACTGACCCTTGCTGGCTCTGAAGATGCCGGCTGCTGTGTGGAAGAGGCTGGCGCGCCCAGAACTGAGCGACTCTGCTAGCAGCCAGCAAGGAGCTGAGCCTTGGTCCAGCACAGAGTAGCTCCTACAGATGGCCCTGGGAGCTGGGGAGCAGGCCTTCCCTGTCGCGCCCTCCCACAGTGGCCCAGGAGGCTGCAGACTTGGCCACGCCCACCCAGACAGAGGACCACAGCGACCACTGGCTGCTGTAAGCCAAGCACAGCGGCCAAGCCCATCCATCCTTCACATCTCCCTCAGCTACCTTCTCCCACCTGAAGCCCAGCTCTCCCAGGGCTGCTCAGCCCCCAGGGCATCTACGGCAGAGGGATCCAGCCCTGTGGCCTAGGCTTGCTCCCTCCCCAGAGGTGCCCTCCGATGCCTGCACCTGCTCCTGATTCTTACCTGCACCCCACCTGGCCACACCCACCCACGGCCCACCCATGACAGTTCCTTCTGCGAGCCCAGGGGCCCCTCCTAGCTCCCTGTTGTCTGCAGAGGTCTGGGCTAGAGCCCAGGGGTCTCAGCGGCTCTGCACCCCCAGTGCCTAGTACAGGCCCTTACTTCTGAGGGGAAAGGACCTGGATGGACAATCACGGGTCCTGCTCTCTAGGCGAAGTGGGGCCTGGGATCAAGACATGACCCTGACATCAGCAAGGAGCCCTGGGAACTGGTTTGTGGCCAAACACTTAGCCAAGCAGCACCCTTAGATGCTTTGCTCACCCACTGCTTCCTCTTCCTAGGCAGAAGCTTCCCATGTGCAGGAGTCAGTCTCCCTACCCCACAGTCAGAGCAATGTGGGCTCAGGCCCCCCCGCTAAGATTCCAGCAAGGGGCATGGCTGCCTGGGTGTGGGCAGAGGTGCATTTGCGGGTGCTCCTCCATGGCAAACTTTGGAGGAATGGTGGGCTGGGTGAGATCTTCCCAGGTGTTTTTCTTTTTCTTCTCCCTCCCTCCCTTTCTGGTAGCACTGGGGATTGAACCCCGGGCCTTTGCACTGAGCTACAATTCCTACCCTTTTAAAATTTTGAGACGGCATCTTACTAAGTTGACTGGGCTGGGCTCCCACTTGCGATCCTCCTGCCTCAGCACCCCCAGAGTGCTAAGATTACAGGTGCGCACCACCATGCTTATGGGCCCAAGGTTCTGTCAAGGAGTCTCATCTGGAGTGCTACGACAAAATGAAATAAGAATGCACTTAAAGCCTCGAGATCAACGTAGTAGACGCTTGGCTCACATTAATCCATGGTTCCTCCTGAGCTGCAGTGACAGGATCCCTGGGACCCTCCATGTGTGCCCCACACACAGGCCTGGCCTGCAGGGGGCTCCTGGTCTCCTTTCTCTTTTCCTCTGTGGTCCTGTGGGGC